AACACCACAGAAATACCACAGTAAACGCCACACAAATACCACGGTAAACACCACACAAATACCACAGTAAACACCACAGAAATATCATGGTAACAAGGCACAAACCCCACAGAGATACCATGGTAAACACCACACAAATACCACAGTAAACACCACACAAATACCACGGTAAACACCACACAAATACCATGGTAAACACCACACAAATACCACGGTAACAGGGTATCTTTGAAGATTATAAAATATCCTTTCCCTGTAAATGTGCATAGTTTATTTAATTTGCCATGTTGGTATTTTGAGAGAGTGTTTTTTTATTTTTTTATTTTCATGTTTATATTTGTTTTATTTATATATTTTTATTTTATGTATTTATATTAATATATTTAAATTGATAATTGTTATGTATTTATTTATGTATTTGTATTCATACTTTTTTAATAATTCATTTTTTATGTTTATGCATGTATTTGTTGCGCTCAGATGTGTGATTCGTGTGGTTCTGTTGTTTCTCCGGTAGCTGCTGTCGTACGGAGGAAGACTCTCCTACACGCTGGCCTTCTTCGCTCTGGACGGCGTGGGTCTGGCCAATCACGAGCCTCAGGTGCTGATGAGGGGCGGGCACCTGCACAAGCTGGTCATCTACACCGAGCTTCCTGCGCCTGAGAACGGCGTCCACACCGGACAGGAGGTTCCTCTGACCGAGGTCAGTTTGCTGACATCACCTCTGTGTGTGTGTGTGTGTGTGATCCCGGCGTGCTCTGACCGTGCTCTTGTGTTTGTGTGCAGCACAAGTGGAAGTATTTCAACTCTGTGTCTGATGAAGCCGTGAGTCACGCCGACTTCATGTCAGTGCTGAGTAACGTGGAGTACATCATCATCAAAGCTTCGTACGGCTCAGGACTGCAGCAGAGCAGGTGTGTGTGTGTCTGTTTGAGTGTGAGTGTGTGAGAGAGTGTGTGAGAGAGTGTGTGAGAGTGTGTGTGAGAGTGTGTGTGAGAGTGTGTGT